GCGCAGACCTACTGTTTGGATTATCGTACGTACCAGCACGTCCAGTGCGCGGGCTTCCCATTGAGTTGAGGCATATAGATATCGACGATAATACCTTCGAGGGGTATTCTAACGTCTTGAAGACCGGAGAGGAAAGCGATCCGCTTGGAATCAAGTTTCTCTTCTTCATGGTACTGCATGTGCGTCCCGATACTCCACTCCCTTGTATACAGTATAAGCGCTGACAGCAGCCCGGCAGGCCCTTTGCACCGCCTGGCCCTACACCGCGGACAGCAACCCAACGGTACCCGTCAACGCTTCCATGGTTCTCGTCACTTCCGACTTCGACTACAAGTAAGCTTCCTTCCTTCCGCTATATTTGGCTTGCATTGCGCGTTGGGCTCACAAATATCCCGATTTGATTTTAAGCACCCCGACGGAATTGGCCGACCTCGAATGGATTCAGGCCCCGAACTCGGTGCTGGTTGTGAGGCATGGGGATGACCATGGGTCGTATAACGGTACGTGCTACGTCTGCGTCGAATTTATTTATTTATCTGGTTTATTTCTTTCAATCTCTGACTTCTGTATGTCTTGTTTAGTTCCTGGGCCCGCCCGCTCTGCATTCATCAATTTCCTGGCCACGGGCAACCTACCTAAACCCACAGACCAGATCTTCGCGACCATTTATGAGCCCGGAAGTCAGAGGGACCCGATTCCTGACCCGTACGCCGTGCCGGTGGGGGTGGGGGCGGGGGATATGTGAAAGGTCCCGAGGCAAAAAGCGGAAGTCAGCGTTTCATCCTAAAACTAACTTAACTCGCCTTGGCTGATTAGCCATTAATTGTTCAAGTCATTCGTTACACAGAGAAGACATAGTCTCTCTAGACAGTTACTGTGATGATACCAGCTCGTTCCTCGCTCATCACAGAGAAGAGAGGCAACCCTGACTTTTTTCCCTTGACTTGCAGCCATATACTCCTTTCCAGCGATAGAAGATCGGAAACCCTGCGATCCCGAGTCCGAGTCGTTGTCGTAAGTACAGACAGGATTTTTGGCAACTTGATGCCGGGATTTTTGGTCGTGAATGTGGTGCCTCTTCCACAGGGAGTAGAGCCCAACAACTGCCAACGCCGGAGGGCCGGTGATGGCTCTAAGTGTCTGTTTTTATTATACCCACGTACGTGGTTGAGTATAATAAATTCCGCCATCTTTGAAGGCTTGAGTTCTGCTGCACAACACGAGCGACTGAGTTCTAATGGTGTTACAGTAACCACGAATATTCTACAGTCCATGAGTAATTAGGGGAGCTCAAAGTAAAACGGCGCCGGACGCTTTTTTCGCTTTTTTCGCTTTTCCGCTTTTTTCTGCTGGAACGACAAGTACATACAACTTTAGTATCATTAGGCATTAGGTGTTCGCGCAAATGCCTATTCCTGTCTACCAATGCCTATTCCACCCAACATGACTTGATCAGCCATCAATTTTGCCGTATCTCAGCAAATTTACCCAAGTCCCTCCTTCAACAGCATTAAGATCCCTAATCCTAACATGACTTGGGATTGGGCCTCTTTGAGGCGGGTGCTGAACCTTTCGGCCCAGCTGACTTCTATGATCACTTGAGTAACAGACGGCAACAACTGTGGAACTGATCCGACAGACTGATGCCATCTCGGCCCGATGAACACGTGTGTCAAATTGTCTGTCAGAGCTCGCATAAAAATTATTGAGAGCGTTCAAGGAGCAGTTTAGATTGAACTGGCCATATCCGATGGTCCCAATTAGAAGCCCCCATAAGTTACAAAATACAATGTTATATGTGATTGATGCCATCATATTTGTGTGTGATCTCGAAACTTGGCCTGTGCTGCGCTAATATGAAAACTGTGACTATACATTAAATCTACTCGTTCAAAGTCATCATATCATCAAAATCAACTGTCCCTGTGTTTCCCCAGCTACTAGATTGCCTCGAGGCTTGACAACTGGAATACTCTCTGAGCCAACTGGAAGTTTGAAGTATACGACACGGCGCCGACCAAGCGCCGACGAACAGGTATTGCTCGGCTAATAGTGGCTCTGACAACTGATTAGTAGGCCACTTTATATAGGGCACAAAAGAACTTGTACCTGTCAGGCGTCGGTGTCCAGATCAAACCCTTCAAAACCGCAGAAGGTAGTGAGGGCAGAAACGACATGGAGGACGAAAGCAAAGGAGGGAAAAGGAGTGGCAACTTGATGTGGCAACCGATCTCGGGGGTTACCGCAATTACCGAGATTGATGTTGATGTCGGGGGCAGAAGAAATACTCCGAGACCGCGACCGCGTATGGTCCAAACAAAAAGACTGGGTCAAGACCTACTCAGGACCACAAAATGAACAGGAATTTTGGACTGTGGTACAGAATTTGTTGTGTTGTGGGACGAAAGGGCAGCTGCAACTAACACTCAATCAAGTATATTTATTGACATGTGATAAAGTTGTGTGATGACTGTTGATGTATGACTAAAAAAAGGGCGAAATCCATGTTCTCCAGGGTAGCCAAACCTAAAGGTTCAGCAATTAACCAGACCTTAACCAAACTCTAACCCTCGACTCTAACTCCTAACCTCTAACCTCTAACCAAAACCCTAACAGAACCACCCTAACCACCCAAACCACCTGGCCGCTAACCCCTAACCCACCGAACTCGGCAATCTGCTGAATGCCGTCACTCTGTGATGCGGGCATTTGATCGATAGGCATTCGCCTCCATCAATAGGCGTTCGGGTGCCGGACCGAGCGCCTATGCTACTAAAGTTGTCGTGCCTCTGGAACGACTGTTCGCCGTGATGCTCGGCAATCTTCGGCACACAATCCAGGCGTTAGCCTCTTCCTTTTTGCCATTTCCCCGGACACAGACGCTGACCAATTAAAATTTCCCTTTCATTGTGTACATCTCAGTTTGGTCCTTTTCCCTCTCTTTCTACTTCGTCCATGTCCCTCATAGCTCAACCCGCCGTAGGCCGACATCTCCCTCCGAAGCCCACCATGAGCATCTTGAACGCGTTACCGCATGCGTGGCATGCCGCATCACGGCCGCGACTGGCCTTTCAGCTCTACTTCATCATCCCTACTTCGAAGTTGTATCCCGTCCACCACCTTGCCTTTCCACACCGGAATGAGGCAGTGCATATGCCCTTTTGAGCGGCTCGGTACATCTCCGTACTCCCGGGGGCGCCTCCACCAAGACCTCCGCCCCATAATCTCAGCCCATTGCGCTTGGCCGTAGCGTATTTCTTTCATTGTCCATTCATACTCTATTGGCTTCCCAGGTACTCGTGCCCTCCGTAGTCTTTCATGAACAGACGCTACAACAGAATGGTGCTCGTACTTCGCATGTTGTATGTCCTCAAATGTTTCATAACCCTTGGATCTTGCTCTGAGTCGTATTATTATGGGACTCTCGGCCTTTGGTTAGGGCACTGAGGTGAGGAGAAGGCGAGGCGAAGCGATCACGGATCTTGTATCTCACGAGATTGAAAGCGTAAGGAGGGATGGAAACTCTGATGCACGGCGCACAACCAATTTTCTTGCATCCCGATACGAGGAACGAGTGCTGAGTGAGTGGCAGCTCCGGCGTCGACTCCCAGCGCCGGAATAGGTCGTACTGGGTGAGAATTTTTTTGTTTGTTTATTTCCAAGTCCTTAAAATATGCCGGGCCCGCACATTAAGCGCCCGAACCATTTACAGTACGGCTTACAGCCCTGTGTGGCATTCGTGGTTCGATTCATTCTTTTCTTTTTTTGTGATCCGCGATGGTGATGGTTTAGAGAGGTACGTCCTCGAAACTCTCGTAGCTCACCCAACCGGAATGCAGGACCGCAATTTGGACGTGGTGCACAGCGCATGCCCACTTTGCTTGCGTGCCCAGCTGGAGTTTAATGAGTGGCAACCCCGGGTTCGACTCCCGGCGTCCGAATAGGTCAGCTGCGGTAGGGACTTGTTATTTAGTTATTTCTGCTCGAGCCCCACAACTCCCGTGCGCTGTTAATTCATGTTTCAATTTTTTTATCTGACCCGGCAAACGATGAGAACTACGTCCTCAGGACTCTGGTACCCCACTAAATTGAAAAGAGGGATAGGAATTCGGACGTGGTGCACGGCGCACACCCACTTGTCGTGCTTCGGTCCACAAGAAATTATGAAATGAGTGGCAGCCCGGGTTCGAATCCTGGCGTTCGAATAGTTCGACCTCCTGGCCAAATTTTTTTGGGTTAGCTAAGCGCTTGGTCTACTTACATGCAGCTCAATTTCATGTTCATCCGTGTTTGAGTACCGTTTTACTTGAACCCACAACTTGCGTCCGTTGTTCATTCATGTTTGAATACTCATTTTGAATTGACCCGGCGAACCGATGTGAGTTCAAGGCATCCAACAACGCATCCGACTTGGAGTCTGCTGCTCAAATAAAACGACCGTGGACTTTGCACTCTCCCGAAATTTCGGAATCGACATCATAAAAACACACCGTCGTTCAGACTACCAGAATTCAAAAAAACATACAACATAATCGAACAAGAAATCCCGGACATCGTTGAATGTTACACCCAGACGAGCTTTCTGGCTCATCAAGAAGTTTGCTGCGCGCTGAGTCTGGACGATGGAAGGTCAGTCAGGGGAGCGAAATGCACGCACATGCAATCCTACGCCATGATATCCCTGTGAAACAACAAGACGTCTCAAGGTGATGAAGAGAGCAGACACAGGCGACTTACATCCTGTTCTTCCACTCTTATCAACGGCTGTATATACACGATGCTCTGGGCACCCGGAGTTACCGTTCTCGATCCGAGCCACGCCATCAGTGTGGATGATGTCACCGACGGACGGGGACAACCAGCGAGTATCGATGCCTCGATGCCGGCGAATGTAGGAGTGAGGGTCGAGTTCCTGGGGTAATGCGACGATCAGGACGGGTCTGTTGTATAGTCCCGGGCGGCTCTCCGGTTGCACGATGAGAATTGGGTTCTCAGTGGATCCACAGGCGGCGTCCAACAAGGCCTCAGGTGGGCATGGGCGATCCGCTGTAATTTCTCTGAACAGATCCCCTATTTCATAGATCAGTTTCCCCTCTATCCTCGCGATGCGTCGCCTCACGGAGATTACACTGCGAGGTGAAGCAATCGATGTCCTCTTAACCTGCCCGCGGGCAGGCTCATTCCCGTAGTCAGAGCGCACGGACTTCTCTTCACCACCACGGTTGTACAACCGATAGTAAACTGACACCAACTTTCAGTGCGCGAAGAACAACAGGTCAGAAAAAAACACGTACGCATGGGCAGGTCGGGACCATCAAGATCGTCACCGTCATCGTCGGATGGAACATGGAGGGGTTCTTTGGGCTGGTGACCAAGACAAGGCCACCGGTATTTGCTTATTCGCTCCGAGATTGCCAGTCAAAATGTCCACGCGAGCGCTCGTAACCATCGCCTTCCGGGCATCCATGGTCTCAAACAAGCCGGTGAGGTCCCCGTTGGGGTCCGGGAGCCCCTCTGCTTGCACGATCGCCCGCTTTAGTGAGTCAACAGTGTGTGGGGCGGGACCGATGTGGCCCTGATGCGGCCAATGAACATATTTTCTTCGTGCTTCTTGCAGTGAATCATTCCGTCCAGCGTATAGACGCGATAATAGACTGAGACGAGGTCAAGGAAGAACAAGATATCTTCACGAAACGGTCACCATATCGTGGCTCGGAAGCAGACCTTTGATGACTGAGAAGAGTATCGCTCTCGTTGCTGTACGAAGGTGAATCTGTAGCCTCGTATCGGGGCAGAGAACTCCACTCTTTACGCTGAGTCGACATGGGAGCAGAAGAAGTCGTGAGCTGGCTAGGTCACAGGTCCCGATACTGAGAGAGAAACAATTCAAAGAGTAAGACTGCCAAAGGACATTTAATGGCTATGATTTCTTATATGACTTGGGATTGGGCCTCGCCGGCGACTGCTTGTGGTGGTTCGAGAACGAGAGGTGTGACAATGACGTGACCATCACGACAGCGCTTCCAAATCAGGAAACACTTCGTCTTTCTCCGATTCATGATCACCCGATATGTATCGTGGCGGACGTGGTTGACGCTGCCGTGGCGCCCAAGCTTTCGAACTAGTGCAACTACCAGACCAAAAAACCGCGATGTGTCTACGAACGCACCTGCAGACACGTCGCACTCAAGTGTCCGTCAGCTTGCCGTCAGCCCCCATCTGGAAGACACGAAATGCCTATAAAGCACTATGCAGCGCTATACACCACTATGCAGCAAATTGTGGCTGTAATTTACCTATGGAGGCACTATGTAGTGCTCCATAGTGCTCCATAGCGTCTCATAGCGTCTTCGGCTGCGTGTTTTCCAGATGCCGGCCGGCATCCCACCGACCTAATCCTGCACCAACCAGATGTCAGAGATGTAATAGGAAGTTGTAGAGGGTCGAGTGACGAAGGTTGAGGGAGCTATAACAGCATGTGGACGTCTAGACTTTTGCGATCGACGTGGGTATCTTTTTTTCTCATTCCCTATTTTCTGGTGTCATGACGACGTACGTTACATCAGCAAAACTAAAATTCTCTGGCATGTATGGCAACGTCTGGTTGGGTCTGGTGTGTCTGGCTGGTATGGCAGCCATACGTGCCATACGCACAACACTCCACCAGAAATGTTTGGTCCGCCATTTTTCAACATCTGTGCCAGTTCATACAATGTACACCAGATGAAAGCAAACATTCAATGAAGCAGATAATTTTTGGTCTCCCAGTCTTCAATGTGTTATGAACATTATGTACACCGGTGACTCTGGCATTGGTTTCTAGCATCGCTGATACTACTGGAGGGGGGCTGAGAGCAATGCTTAGCATGGCCATCGCAAAAAACTCGTTCCAAGGACTACCTTGAATTGATCTTGAGAAATTTATTTCCTGTCCTCCAAAGAAGATTTAGAGGTTATGGAGGCAGATATCCCAAGTTGCCATCGTTAACAATCAGTGTATCCATAACTTATGCATGCCTACTTGATGCATTCAATTAAAAGTATGAAGAAGTTCCCGTATTGTAAACCCGTGGGGGAACCGCGACGACTTGTTGTTCGAATGTTCGAAATGCTCCAAGTCCTTAGCCGAGCGGGCCGTCTCATCACCGTCGGATCAGACGATGAAACAGTCACGTGGACAACAGGAGGTTTGTTGGTAATCATCACATCAGCGCGTCTTTCTTCCTTCTCCATCAACTCTTCGCCCCTGCTCCTCCCCTGGCCGCAGCGTCGACTCTTTGCGCGACATTGGGCATGCTCAATGTCGCATACAGGAGCCGTCCCTGTGTTTTGCTGGTACGTGACCGAGTTTGCGTTGGCTAGATTCGCAGACCTGTCCTCAGTAGTGCGTGACACTTTTCGCCGGAACATGCTAAGGCACCAAATGGTCTCCCGTGACATTCCCTTCCCTCGCTAACTTCTTCTCTCTTTCCCAGCGTGTGCCACTGCCACTGCCAAAGCCGCCGACAACATCGCTCGATGCCGAGCACGAGGTGCCCATTCCCCTCCCTTGCCTCATCCTCTGCCTCCCCACGTCGTCGCCACAATACGGGTGCGTCCATCCATCTACATCTACCCAGAAAGCTAATGTTCGCCTTCCTTCAGCTGGGTCCGGTGCAGCGGTGCTACGTCGAGGACGAGTGAGCGGGCGGTGTTTGTGCTGGGCAACACGTCACAAGTAAGTGTCTCTCCCTTTTCATATTCTTTCCCTTACTCTTTCACCCTCAACTGGCACGCTTCATGAATACTGCCTGCGAGTCTACCGCCGACAACACGTTTTTGCGGGCTCGTTGTCATCCGGCGATTTAGATGATGTGTTCATTCCGGTACGCTTTGGCATCCTTTCTTCCTTTTCAGTGCCTGATCGTCCCCTAGGCCCACGATAGAAGCTCCTTTCCTCACTTGTTTGTGCTGCAGTTTTTCCACAAGTGAGCATTTTATCTTGCTACCCTTGCTGCCGTTATTCAAGGTTCCAAGCACTTGCATGTCGAACAAACTTACGAGGCAGCCTCCAACAACCCTCGGCCCACAAACTGGTCCTTAAACCTAAAAAAAGGTGCACCCCCTACCATTTGCATGTACTCTCATGGTGATTCTCTGGGACCAGATTAATCAACTGGCGACTTTGCCAAGCTCAACTACGAGTGCGTCTGATTCATATTTTACTTGTGAACTCCCCGATCACGTTGCATCGACCGTCCCCCTCACATTCCAATATTCGCGTTTCCACTGAAAGTGATGCCGTTTCCGTCCTTACCCCATTGTCACGTAGTATTTGACCTGAATGAAATTTGAATGCAAATATGCTGCAATACCACGATTCTGAGTGATGTCCGCGCAATTCTAGTTTAAATGGCGGGAATGTGACATTACTTGTGGCACAAATACTGGCGTCAGAAGTGAATTGTGGCGTGTATGGCTGCCAGAATTTTTTATGGCGATATGCAAGTCATTATGCTGCCATACGAAATTCTGGCGGTATGGTGCGTCTGATTCGTCTGATGCCAGACCTGCCATACACCTTTTGTTTTGCTGATGTAGTAGATCACGCAAGGGCTCTTTATCTGCGGCTCCCGCCCAGTTGCCGTTTCGTCGACTCGAAGGTGGATCTCCCATCGCCGCCGCCCAAGATATCCATGAGCATCCGATTGTGCTCGGCGTCGGTGATGCCCATGCCCGAAGCATGTTAGTGCGTCCATCATGGTCGCCCAGCTCGGGGTCGCCGAGGCCGTAGCTCAGCGTGCTAACAGTGCGCCGCCGCTGAACGCGTTCGCGAACCCCATCGCGCTGAACGGAGGGGCGCGGGATCATGGACGTCGCCGTCGCCATCTGCTGCTTGATCACCGTAAGGTGCGTGAGATGTTTCAGGGATGTATCTATTAGTCAGGCAAGCGAGAGAGTGGCTGGCTGGTCTGTACCTCCAGCATATCAAGGCAACGGTTGCAGCAGCTGTGATTTAATTTTGACACAAGTTACTGAGCTGAAAAAATTAAATTTTCTACACAAGTTGCTGTAGAAAAAAATTAAATCTTCACACAGATTGTTGTATGTTACAACCCGTAGTAGCTTACGTAGTAGCTTATGTCGATAATCCTGAGAGGCGGGGAACAACATCTCAAGATTAATCTGAGAGAAAAGATTTAATTTTTCCAGATTAATCTTGCGC